AAAGCCAGATACAGACTGAATAGAAAGAAGGGAACATATTTTATTAACCTGTTGGTTTGAGCAGCTGGAGTATAAAGTAGAAAATTTTATCTGGATGCTTGTTAGTGTCCATAGCTTTGTGTAGCTGCTCTTCCATCTTCCCCTGGGCAGGACCAAACTAAGTGTCTCGCAGCATAAAGGACTTTGCCAAGACCTTTACAAGGAAAGCACTTCAACTGAACAGCTGAGTATCATGTTTTGCAATTTAAAAAGTGTTTAGCTATTATTCTAATGCTCAATAGAAATAATAAGCTTCCCTTTAGGACTGTCTATCCAGAGCAGCTCTGTGAAAATGAACTAAATACATGGCTGACTCATACCTAATCAGGGGAGTGAATGATGGTTTAACATCAGACTGTACTGACTGTGAAGGTTGGAGACCTACAAGGGTATAGTTGGTCTTTCAGTTTGTTAACCTTACTTGGCGTGCTGGCAATTTAAAAAAAAACCAAAACTTTTTTATGCATCTTCCTGAAAACTGCTCAGTATTTTTTACTGCCCAGTTCTCCAGTGAAAACCTGAAAATCAAAAGACTTTTTTTTTCTTTTTAGTTTTGAAAATTCTTATTGAAAAAAATCTCCAGCCATTCCACTGAGATTAAAATGTGCCTGTGTCTGTGATGATCTGGATTTAATGAATGAACAAGTATACAGAAACCCACAACTCATGGGTTAGTTCAGACTGAGAAGTGTTTGCAGTCCAGATTCCAGAACTGCCTTTATTTAAGGGGCAGCAGGAAGGGAAATCTCCCAGTACTCTAGCCAGAAAAAAACAATCCGAAAAACAAAAGCAAGAACAAAACCCACAAATAAGCTATAAGATCTTTGAAGTAAAAGCTTGCTTTTGTTCCTTCATGCAGCACAGCAGGGCTGTGATCCACAAGTGAGCTCAGTAAGTGCTACTACAATACGGTAATTAGCTGTAAAGCTGCAGCCTAGTCCAATATATAATCTTTCCAAAGCCATGCTCTGTAGTTATTGGCAAGTATGACTTCTGACAAGATTGGATACTTTTCCTCTGGTATTTCTCTGCTCGTCTGGTATCAGTATAATTCTCTTTCTTCATCTTTCTTTCCTAGTACTGCTCATAACCCATGTTCAAAGTATCAGTAGACATTACTTTGAAATGAAACATATAGACAAAAAGGTTTAAGGCCAGTGCAGGGCAAGAGGGAATATAGAAGGGTAAAAGGCCATTAGACTTGACAGTAGACTGTTGTGCTCCTTAACTTTTAGATAACTGCTTTCTGTAGGAGAATGCATAGCCCTGAGTTATTCAAACTCCTTCTATGATGCACAGGATTCATGGGGAGCCTCATGAAGAGAACTGAAAGGAGCTGCCTAAGCAAGCCGGTATAAAACAGTAGGGATAGATGTGTCCTGCCTCTCTCCAAATCTAGCATGTTAGCACTGCTAAGAGCTGCCTGCCTCCATCCTGGTGTGTTTCTGCACGCCTTCTCTAAAGACTGTTTAATCAAAATTCTCAGCAGAGATCAGAACTAACATCCCACGCAAGTGCCCAAGTAATTAAGACAGTCAGTCTGTCATTACATAAAATCTGACAGCTCTGAAAGGAATTTGAGAGTTCTTTCTGAAGATAACCTCTACTCTGGGGCTAGGGAGCACAGCTCAGGCAAAATTTGGAATTGTGCCATGTTGTCTAAACATGAAGCTATGCAGTGGTCACCACCAGCAGCATTCTCTTGAATGAAGTTGCCTGATGCTCTATTCTGTGGGGTCCCAAACTGGTAGATACACCCTGAGAAGCTTTTACCAGTTGGAGCCCTCCAGGAGCAATAGGAAGAGAGACAGCTGTGTTGCAAATCCCAGCAGGCAGCCTTAAATATCAAATAGACCTTAAATTGCACAGCAGTCTCAAGAATTAGATGCTCCCAAGCATAATGAGAACCAGGATTTACATAGCTAGGGAAGATTAATGTTTAAACTTTAGGTACCAAGAGTAACGAGCAGTTGAACTGGAGTACTAAGAGTCCGTGGTTTTAAATGGAGATCATAAGTTTCATCTCCAAAACTTGTCGAGGAATCATGGAAATCTGGACCTTTCACTAACAACATCTGCATCCCATTCCTCAACCAAGCAATTTTAGGGATTTTCAGGATTTTTGCAGTCATAAAAGTGAATCTTTCATTTGTGCAGATTGGCTAAGCCTCAGGAAGGAGGCAAATGGAGGGAAAGCAAAGTATCATGGTCCCTCAGGAAGGCTCTGTCTCAGAGGAGGAGTCTTACCAATGCCATGGAGCCCTGCAGGCACCTGTGGCAGGCAAACAAAGGAACACCTCTGTGAACAGCACTGTGCTGGCAGCAGGCAGCAGAAAACTCTCAGCTTTTATCCATGTTTGAGTCTCAAAGATGAGCTGTGACTTTTAGAAAAGGAGAGCTCTCTTCCTGAGGAAAGCATTTTACCCCAAATGCCAATAAAATTACAATGCTCTCAAATTTATAGTGCATCATTCTGAGGAAACCCACTTGCTGCAAGAGCCTCTCCCTTTCTTTAGTTATCATATAAATAAATATCTTCCTTTCATCTGGAAGATACTTAACCATTTTCCATGCTGTTCTCAATTATAAATGAGAATGGGCCAAACCGTAGGCCCCGTAACAGTGTTCAAATGATCTTTTTCCATTATAATTGATATTTTAGATGGCTTTATAACTGCCTCAGCTATAAATTCATGCCCATTATTTGTAATAAGTGCTGGCCTCATTTAAGTATGTTGGCTGTATTCCCAGAATAATGCTTTTGGCAGAGAATCTGTTCATGCTGGGAGAAGTGGGGGAGAGTGAGGGACGACCTACAACCCTCAAAATCTCATTAATAGTTAATTGTAGCAGGAGAAGATAGAAATCATCTCCATAGCTAATCAGGATCTCATAACTTTAAAAACATAATATAGACATACATGCAAGGATTCCTTCTATCCCTCAAAACAAGTCTGCCCAGACCAGCCTGTTTTTCAGTCCAGGGGCTGGGAAAGTGTATATTTGCAGCACCAGTGAGCTGTGCAGTGCCAAGAGTGCAGAGAATGAAGAACAGGCAACCACTGAGATTGTGGAGTGTCTGGGGGGAATACATTTGTATCCCAAATAGAGGTATCACCAGTGTATGTCCCCAGTGGAGCCAGGTCAACACAGTGGACTATTTGCTTCTGCTTCTGTAATGGAGTCTGTATGTTCCCTGCTTCATCTATGCCCAGTGCCAGACCCAACAGCAGAGGAGTGCTGCCTGCATCCTTCCTTATTGGAAATATCATCTTGGTTAACTACGGGGCTCTGAAAATGTATTAGGGGATGAGCTATTTCTTTTGCACAAAGTGACTCAGCTCAATAAATGGCTTATCCACCTCAACTGTCCTACCTGAATGGCTCTGAGACTGCTTTCTGCTGCAGGTAGCTGTCTACATATACCTTAACTCCTCAAGACCAGCCCTCTCCCATGCTTCACCTGCAGCAGCCACTGCTTTTCTTCCTGCACTTCTTAGGCTGTTGTGAAAGGCAGGGGAAGAGGCAAGGGACTGGGGTGAGGTGTGGACTCTAGTCCTGCTAAAGGAGATGGGTAAAACAGAAGAGACAGGCCTGCAACAAGGAGGGAAGGGAATGCCCTGGATAGTCTCTTGTGCTTGACTGGCAACCAACCAGTGTTCTTCTAGTCCCAGTTATTTGCCTTTGAAATCTTTAAAACCGTTTTCCCCACAGGAAAAAAGTAGAAGGTAAATTTTACCAGACAACTGCAATTAATTCCTAAATGGCATCATCATAGACCTCTAATGTCTTAGATTACCACATGGGTTGCAGTTATATGAAAGGGAAGATTATCTCCATGACATGGCAGTGGACAAATGTGATGGCCTGGGAGGAAGGGTACCAAGGTCAATGGGAGTGCATCTTCTTGTCTGTCCCTGCATTGTGATCAGAAAAAGCTAGAAAACACTGAAACCATGCCTTGGGTCTTAGTGATGGTTCCTCTCTCTGTCCTTCCTTTCCCTCCAGTACCATCTGCTGTCTTCCACTCTTCCCAGGGCACCATGCATTCGTACTGGGCTTTGTCTAGACTCTAGGCTGGGTTGCCTATTTACAATGTCTTGAGATCATTTATGATTTTACTGCACTGCTTGAATTTCTCTTAGGAATGCAGCAGAAATAAAATAATTGTTTGCAGCCATTTATGTTGTGGAAAAATCTAATTAAATTTCAAGGGATGAAGATGCCTTCCTTACACTAAAGACTTTCCCCTTCTGAACTGCAAAAGCATATTGCAAATAACAAAGGGGCTAAAGCTTAAAAATACACCAAAGAAGAAAAAGCAAACAAATGATTGCCACAAGAATGTTTTATGCCAGAAATCATTAGACAACTGCAATTGAAAGGCCATTACCAACTACCACTATAATAAAAAACATTATAATCTCAGTCTGAACAAGTAGGGTGACACTTTCTACATTGTAGATTTGTCTCCCATGGGGCACATCTTGGCACTGCTGTTTATTAATGTAGGTGATAATCATACAATGAATGACTGGATTGATAAGAGTATATTGAGAACAGCTGCTAAAAATAGCTAAAAGCACAATGAATATCTTTACCGGGATCCTTGAAAACAAGCTAGGAGGACTGTCTTTAAAAAGTACTAAAACTGTAAAATAAAGATAGCCATAGCATTTAGAGAAATTTGTTCCCAGCACATGTGTATCCAAGTTTCACCTTTTTCTTGTGACAGCAGGA